TGCTGGAACTCCCGCAAATTTTACGGGAGTTCAAGCATAATTATGCTGTGCGGGAGTTCCAGCAAGTATAATTGTCCAGTATAATATACTGGAGTTTGGAGCACTGGTGCTCCAGTCTCCCGCAAATTTTACAGGAGTTAGCAAAGTATACCGGTCCAGCATAATATGCTGGAGTTCGTACACAAATGCACCAGAACTCCCGTATATTATACTGGACCGGTCCCTGTTGCAGCAAAATAGTGGCTATTTTTCATTGACTTGATAAACGCTGGCTATTTTTCATTGACCAGTGTGAAAACTGGCTATAATATGATATTTTAACCATAATTTGCTCTTTTAAAAAATGTGTCTGCTTTGGGCCTAGTAGGAAGGCCCAATATTGAAATTAAATCTACAGACTCCCCCACCTCCATCTCACGTGCCTTCTTCTTTAACTTAAAATCAACACTCAAGCACCCCCACGTGATTAACACAATCTCCTGTGCAGCTATAACATTGCCCTGACCTAGCTCTGTCATATAGGTGGATATTGCCTAGCGGTCCTTCTCCTTCGGAATTTGGAACCTTCATCTGCACCTGCTCTTTCTATGGAGACCGATGATCCCAGTGCATATCGTGTTTGTCTCTCAACCGAAATTGGAATGAGAAATTTGATGCCATTCCTCTCAATCGCTACCTCAGTAGGGCAATTCCGACCATCTCCGGCTACTTCTATTCTAGCCCACTTGAGATGATTTTTGAGATTTGTTTCATCCTATGTAGCAATCCATCCTCCACAGAGATCTCCGATTTCTTTGAATATCTTCTGCGAACAAAGATGAAAAGGGACCCCCATTGCTCTAACCTGGCTAGTTTTTACGGAGAAAGAATTGGAGATACAACCAGTGGGGTTCCACCATTCAAGATAAAACTTGAATTTGTTCCATCTCCATTCACTTTGGAGAATCTGCTCTGCCATGCATCTATTAGGAAACTCAAAAAGAAACATGTTTCCAGTCATCTCGTACATATTCACCCAAACACTGCTTTCCAAGTAATAGAGGCCCATCTCCTAATGTGTGATAGAGTGGGTCTCTCAGTTACTTCTTTCCCAAAATACCCAAGTATACATCTTTGTAGCATACCAGTGTCCTTCAACCCAGGTGGCTCCGAAATGACAATGGCACTTTTATTGGTGCTGACAATTAATTTACGGAGGATATTCGATTGCCATCTGCTCTCACGTACAGCTTTGGTGTAGGGATAGTTCGCTTCAGTAACTCTAGGGGGCTCTTTACTGTTCAACTTTGAAGAGCCTTTAATGAACCTTTCAATATTAAAAGCGATGTCCTTCCATCCCGCATTCGATGTTGTTTCGGGGATTATAATAACTGATCTCCCATCTCCCACTAATGACAGAATACTAATATATCTTCCATGGTCATTATACTTCCTAGTACAAAAATAGTCTGTTAGTTGGTCTTTTTGGTTTTCCATCTCCTAACCAGATTTTTCTGATCCTTCGAGGCTTCTTTGAGAACGAAGCAAATCCACTCCATAGCTTTTATGCTTATTGTTGAACGTCTCATCATGTTACGGCTTCTCTCCACCCAGTCATACCATGTGTCCTTTTTCGAGGTCCACCTGGTGATGTCAAAGGATTTGAAACCTACGTTGAAGTAAATTCTGTCATCTCCCATGGAAGTGATGTTAGAGCTACCCTTATTTACCCATTTATTTTTGTACCTTTAAACTAATTACATTTCCTATCCACAGTAATTTTTATGGGAAATTTTTTCTTTATTCTCCAATTATTTTTTATTTCTATGCTTTTTTTCTTTTTTTTTTCTTTTCTCCTTTTCTTTTTTCTCGGTTTCTTCTTTTTTTTCTTTTTTCCTTTTCTAATTTCATTTAACTTTTTTTCTATTCTTTTTTTCTTTATAGTCTAATTTTGTTTACTGTTTTCACTATTTTTATTATTCTTTTTTTATACTATTCCTAAAAAAAATCAAATTGTGTACCAATTAAATATAGCTAATACAACCAAAAAATATTAACTAACATATGGTACCAGTATAGTATATAGCTATACCAACAGGGTATACAATTGTACGCAAAGAGTTAAAAAAATTCTTGTTTTGAGTTTGAAAATAACCACATACTCAACAAACATAATTTATAAGTTTCAAAGCTTCAAGGTCCTCCAATAGTATATAAATATTTTGCAGAAGTCAGAAGTCTTGGAATTCAAGTTATAGAATAAATCAAAGCGAAAAAGAGATTTGAATTTTCACTTTGCCCCTCACGCTGGATAAAAGCTTAAAGCAAATTAAAAGGGAAAAGGCAAGTGAATTTACGGGTAATAAGTATACTATTATGGTATACTGTATACTATTACAGCATACTGTTACGGTATATTGCATATTATTACAGTATACTATAATAATATATTGTATACTATAATGGTATACTGTTGCAATATAACTATATACTCCTATAGTATATTGTATATTGTAGCGATATACTGTTAGGTAACTGTGTTCTTCTTCGATTATTACAATATACCGTTGCAGTATATTGTAAACTATAACAGTATACTGTTGCAGTATAGCTATATACTCCTACAACATATTGTATACCGTAGCAATATACTATTGAGTAGTTGTGTTCTTCGATTTTCAGCTGAAAATTTTGATCTTAATCACCTCAAATCAGCTCCAAATGCTATCAAATTTCAGTATGAACTTCCAGAAGGTATTACAAGCAATATTTAACAGCACCCACTTTGAATCAAATAAGAAATCTTCAAAATAAAAATTTTAAATTCAAGAGCTTCAAAACAAATCTCATACATGTTCTCCTTCCATTTAGTATAAGAATTTTTTTTTTTTTTTGGAATTAAACTGATTTTGCATTAGCAGACATGTAGGTCATTGAGGAGAAGAGGTAGTCCGGAGGTTGTGTTTGCCTCTGTTGTACTTGTAGAAGATTTCAACATACAAGGAAAGGGAATTTTGACATAAGCAGTTGCAAATTGTTGGACATAGGCAATGTAAATGGGAACAAATGTTGGATGATTACATAGTTTTCCATGTTAGTAGGGATCCTCTTTCACTATAGGAAGCTACTGGATTTATACCCTTTCTTGATGAGAAATTCAGTAGTTAATATGTAGTTAACCAAATATACCCGCCCTTTCCAAAAGAAAATTCCCGCGATCTTCACTAGTATTCAATTCCGGATCTGACAAATATGGTCCAATTCACTCATTTGCAACAGTTTCCTTCAAAAGATTTTTTTCTCTTCAACACACAGACAAAACCTACAGATCACTACCATGGCTTCCGAGAAAGAAACGCTAGATGAGAAGAAACAAGAAAAAGAAACAAACAAGCAAGAAGAAAAGGTTAAACATAACAGTGAAGAAATAAAAATTGATAATGATAAGGATGAAATAGGGGAAGACAGAGAGGGTGCAGGGGGAATGGAAGTAGACAAATAAGAGGAAGAGGAAGAATCTGGGGAGGAAGAGGAAAAGGAAAAAGTTGTGAAGAAGGGAAAAGATAGAGGTGCAGTGAAAGAGGGGGAAGGGAAAAGGGATAATATGGATTCGCCCGCAACACCAGGTTCAAGGCCATCGGTGGAGACATACACAAAACAATTACTGTAAAAATAACCGGATAAATAGTTTGGATGGGTAGGAGTAGTAAATAGTTTGGGCCTGAACATTAAAGGGTAAATAGTTTAGAATTAATGGGTATAAAGTGAGATTTTCCCTTTCTTTTTTTTTGTAAAAATTGTGTGGGGAAGCCACTTTTTAAAGTGGTATTTACTTTTTATCCAACATTTTTAATGCTGAGCAAAAGTAGCCACTAGTCTATTAAAATTAATATGAAAAGACAGTATTACTCTTTCCTTCCCAAACGAAAATACGCCATTTTCATATTATTTCCTTACATCTCATGAACTTTTCTACTTGTTCCTTTTTCACTTTCTTTCTTCCATTCCCATTCGTTCAATAAATGAGGAATATTATTCTTAATATACGCCATTTCAGATTCATCATCTTTATCTTCTCCCAACTTGTCACAATTAATAGTCAACACCTGCACTTTGTTTAGGCACCATATTCCAAAGTTATTACTTAATTAGAACTCAATTTATCTTCTTTTCTCCCAGCAGCTGCACGTAAACCCATCTTCTTTGTTTACAAATTGAAATTCCTATAAGACACTATCACCATATATGTTATTTTGTATTTAGTCCTTAACTTAGAGTTACAAGCACAGAAATTAAGGATAGGTAGCCCTCAACTTCGAGTTCCAAGTTCAAAAGTTAAGGACATGTAGTCCCAAACTTAGAGTTACAAGTTCAAAAGTTAAGGACAGGTAGTCCAAAACTTAGACTAACAAGCTCAAAAGTTAAGGACAATAGGTCCTGAACTTATAGTTACAAGTTCAAAAGTTAAGGATTGGTCCTGAAGTCCTTAACTTAGACTAACAAGCTCAAAAGTTAAGGACAATAGGTCCTGAACTTAGGCTAAGAAGTCCAAAAGTTAAGGACAATAGGTCCTGAACTTAGACTAACAAGCTCAAAAGTTAAGGACAATAGGTCCTGAACTTAGACTTACAAGTTTAAAAGTTAAGGACAAGTAGTCCTTAACTTAGAGTTACAAGCACAGAACTTAAGGACAAGTGGTCCTGAACTTCGAGTTCCAAGTTCAAAAGTTAAGGACATGTAGTCCTGAAGTCCTGAACTTAGAGTTGCAAGTTCATAAAGTAAGGACACTTGGTCCTGAACTTTTATGAGCAGAGGGTATTTTCGTCCGGGCAGGTAAAGTTTATTAAAGCAGTGGCTAAAGACTAAAGACATTTTAAACCGTGGCTTAAAAGTAAATACATGCGTTATTAGTGGCTAACCGTGCACTTTCCCTGTTTTTTTAACTTGCTAACAAATGTTGAACTACCATGTTCAGACCCATGTGTTAGGAAAAACACATGTATAACACAAACAGAAGATGATAGAGAAAGCATGAGAGGACGAATAAATTAACATGAATGTACATTTCAAATGAGACAATACATCATTCATCCCAATATTTTTTTAAATGAGACAAGTCCCCAAAGGAAGAGGGGAGAGGGGGGCCATAAAAAGAGAACGAGAAAGAGAGAGAACCTAGATACAAGAGGACAGTGCCACATGAGATCATACCCTAGATCACAGAATTGAATGCAAATTATGCCTGAGCTTAACCATAGCTTGCCGGTGGATAACATACGCCCATTCCTCATACTAAGCAGCCTTTGAAACCTTTTCTTAATGTTGTTTCATCTAGGTTTTTGCCTATGAATACTAACTTGTTTATTCTCTTCTCATTTGGTTCCCATGTCTTGCCTGGGCATCCATCTAAAATCGAATGTACCCCCTTCGAAAATTTAAAGAAAAAAAAAAAAAAAAAAAATTCAGTATCAAGAATAACAGATCATCAAGATGGAACATACTACCGTGAAGAAATTGATGAGAACCTGGAAAACATAGCGCTCTTCAGAATCACTCACAGATAAAACCCCCTTCATCCTGTACAGGTCATCCCCTTTCTCTTCAATGAGCCTTTCAAGCCAATCATCAACCTGGACCATGTACCCCACGAAAAGGTTGTTCATCCACAACGAGTTAATTTTGGACAAAAAATAGCCAAGGAAGAATTTCAATCATACAGTTTCTGTTTATCTTCTTTTCTTTTCTTTTTTTCTTTTGATTGTAAAGCATATCAGGGGAGCAAACACACTGAGCAGTTACATATGGGCAGAGCAGCAAGACTTTTACGCATGCAGTGATTTGCAAACTTGGCAACTCAACAATAATCAGGATAAAAATTCGAAATAGAAAAAAGGCTAGCTAGAAAAAGCATATACCTCATCTAAATCTAAGGTTCCCTCGGACACAATACAAACACTGGATACAGCAGAATCATGCACATGATCATGATGGGGGCCTTTGTGATGTCCTGTAAACAATGAGGCTTTCTATTAATGCTACGGAAGAAGAAGAAGAAGAAACTGGTAGGAGCATCCTGTCTATCTTCTGATAAGATGAGAAGTCATATCAGTAATAACGAGGAATCTAACACATCAAACACTAATTGCACATATATTTTTTTTTTCTTAAAAAAGAGAAGACAGGAAAACATTGGAAAGAACATGAGAACAAAGAAGAAAAGTTTCAAAAAAGTTACAGTAATCACTACCATGCCCATCTTCATGATGGTGCCCACAGTGTGAGCCCTCTGATTGAACTTCAGAATCAACTCTGCAAAAGCAAGACGTTCATAAAAAATCAGTAAAAATAACTCAAGATACCATTCTGACCCATGGAATAGGAAAATTTTTAAGAAGCAAGTTCTTTAAGAGAATCACCTATCAAGATCATAACCACCAACTCCCAGAACAAAGTCCATATCAACCACCCCATATTTTGCCTTCTTTATTTGTGCCATCCCATTGATATGCTGGAAAGTTATAGCAATCAACACTTTGTATGTAAAAGAGGAGTCATAATCAAACAGGAGAAGAGTATAACTAAATGCAGACTCAAGAAGTACATTTATCCACCAGAAATGACAATACAGATTTATACCTAATTGTCAAAGCTGTTAGATACACGGAACACCACAGAACTAAGAAAAACAGATGGACTTCAAGGTTGTAACAGCTCAAAATGCATTACCAAGTCATATCGAGACAAGCATTATGGAAAAAATTAAGGTAATACAGTAAGAAAGTAGTGAGAAGAACCTCGAAAATAAATTTTATCTTCTTTCGCATTAAGCAAATTAGTTAACACTACATGCGTAAGAGGGGATGTCCAAGCTTAACCCTATTTAATGATTCATATGCTTCTCATATTGCAACACCCTCAGTGCATGTCGTGTTTTTATATTATATTCGAGAAACTCCCAGCACCACAATACCAGAAGATAGACAAATAAGCTTAAAAAAGAAGATACTCTACCAAATAAGCTTAAAAAAAAGAAGAGACTCTACCTTGATTTTCTTTGTCAACACTTCGAGCTCAGCTTCAGCAACCAAGTCTATCTGTCAAGATAATCAGAAGAACATAAACTGAATTATAGGCTTCCCAAGATTGCTTGACCTACTGCAGGCTATAAACTGAAGTATAGGCTTCCCAGGATTGCTTGAACCTAATGCAGGCTAGGAAAGGCGAGCGACCAATTGCAAAGCTAGAAGCTGCCTTACCTTGTTCAAGATAATACGATCGGCATAAGCCACTTGTTCAACAGCCTCATTCACCACAAATCTGGGTTTTATCTCATTTAAATGCTGTAAGGCATGCTTGCAGTCAACCAGGGTAACGACTCCATCAAGTTTGACATGTCTTGAAACCAACTCATCGGAACAAAATGTTTCAATAACTGGACCAGGCTTTGCAAGACCTGCAAAACAAGTAGCAACTCAGAGGAACGGTTCGGAGATGATAAACACTCACTAAACCATGGGTTCCAAATTTCAATTTCTGAAGAACAAGATGCTACAGGGATTTAGTCAGACCAAAATGCATATTGAGTATTTAGCCAGCATTCTACAGGGGCCTCATAATGGGCTAAACTAAGGAACCCCACCTTTCGTGGTTTTATTTTTTTCTTTGCCCTGTTTCACCCCCTGAAGAAGGGGGTCTACAAAGGATACTCCATTGCAAAAAGCTAGTCAGCAACATTCAGCAAAATTGAAAAACTTTTCTGTCAGCGATGCCAGTGGACATTAACCTTGCCGGACCATGTACAGCGCAATTGAAGTTACCGAGGAGGTCACAACAGACCTAAACGACTAAGGCTTCATGCAAGAGAGTGAAAGGACCAGATGGATAACAGAAATAAACAAAACTGCAGTAGTCATTGGCAAATTAAATGAAGTTACATGCTCCTAAGTGTCGGAATTTTATTTGAATCAACATCACGAAAGATAATTACCAAAACATAAAAAAAAATGGCACATATGCATAAGTTCCCTTTTTTGCTGTTCGTATCACTGCATCAACATCATCTAAAGGTGGAGGAAGGAATTCATATCAAGCTGCAGTTTGGATTAAAGCAAATCTATTTCTATGTGGATGTGTTTTAAGGCAAAATAAATTTAATCCATCCTGTCAATAAAAGAGATAAGAAACCCCTCTGCTAAATGTTTTCACATACTTTATAGAAGAACATTAGCTATTTCTCATAACATGACCTGCATATATCAAGCAAAGTTATCCGCTGAAGTATTTAAGTGATTTGCAAGTGCCAAAGTACATAATCAGATTTTTTTTCTTTTTGATTAGTACTTCATAATCAGATGTTCTTGAGGTCTTACTAACAAAATCGAGTTTCATTGCACGTGAGCACATTTGACAACAACAGTTAGTTACATTTATTAAACAGTTTCACATACCTGTTGTCTCTATAACTATGTGATCAAATTTGTCTCTCCTCTTCTTAACGAGCTCCAAAAGCATCATGACAAGGTCACCACGTACAGTACAACATAGACAACCATTATTAATCATGACAATGTCCTCATTAGATGAAGAATGACTAGCAACCAATGAGCCATCAATGTCCACCTCACCAAACTGCAATTGGATTTAGTCATATAAATATCTAAGTAAATGTAGATAGTCCAAATTTTACTAGCCATATCATATTGTGAAAGGCAGTTCAAGAACTTGTTATTGGATGATGATAAGCATGCAAGGTGCATGTGCAATACACATTGTCTACGCAAAATAACAAACAATGACGCATATCATTTAAGAATGGCAGAAACTGACTGGTGCATCAGTACCTAATCTTTATTAAAAAAAATTAAATCAGGAAACAACTGTGCAAAAGCAAACTCAAATTATAAAATGATGCCATGCAATTTGTAAAACAATGCGAAAACTGGCTCATTGTTCTGCAAAAATTTTCCTACAGGTATTATGTTTGTAACTATAGGACAGAAGAAAGATTGGCAAACTTCGGTTGCCACAGTATGTAATAACCACATCAATTAACAAGCTCTAGTGTTAGATTCACATCCTTGTTATTTTGCTCAAATGGTTACTAAGTTTGATAGTAGTATTTTGTTTTAAAGCATAAGAATGAAAGTTAATGACTTGAACAATCAAGCTAGTTCGTCATTCTAAGACAGGTGCTTGTAGAAATTGTGAGCTAAGCTGCAAATTTGGGTGAGCCGACTCATGAAAGTTTGGGTTGTTTTTTACTTTATTTAAGAAGGGACTAAGTTGGGCAACATAGTTATATCTAACTCAATAGATGTAAACCAACCAATCAAATGCAAAATGGGAAGTCAAAGGGCATCCACTTGAAAAACATCTTAGGATATAGAAGTTAACAATAGCTGGAGAAGACAAGAAAACCCCATAATACCTCATTTTCGATCACAGCAATCCGCTTCCCATGCTGAGATGTCAGTATATGATTCAACAAAGTAGTCTGCCAGAGCATCCATGAAACAAAGCCATGAGATTCTTATAATCATAATAATCCCAACGTCTTATATGTGCAAAGTAATTCAGATATTTCAACTCAACATAGAGAAGCACTATATTCCTGGTTCGTATAAATTAAAACCCAAAAGAAAAAAGGAAACAGGGTTGTGATATTAACAAAATCAATTATTTAGTTCAAATTTTTTGTAGTGGACGTAATTTTCATTATACAAAAAAATGTAGTAATATAAAGCACAAATATTTTTGATATGTTTCATTCTAATATTCAGTAATGTTCTATCAACAACTACTATGCTTTGATCCGAAGCTAGATGAGCTCAGCTATATGAATCCACACTATTAAGATTGCTTCATAAATCTCCTGTTTCGTTTTAATATTCAATAACTTAAGTTATTACTGATAAAAATATTTTTTTTAAACAAATTTAAAAAAAAAAAAAAATAACTGTTTGATTCCTCTAACCTTTCCAGAACCAAGAAAACCAGTAATAATAGTGGCGGGAACGCGACTGTCAAAATTCAAAGCGGCAGCAACGGAAGAATCAGAGTCTTGGGGGAGGTATTCAGGAGAAGTGGAGAAACTTCTAGAATTACGTGAACAGAAATGGAATTCTCTGGAAACGAACGAGTGAAGAGTTCTCAGGAAATGGGAAATGGGAGGGAAGTTGTGAAAAGGACGAGGATTGGCGAGTTTTAGCGACGTTGATGATTCGGAGAGTAAATACCTGAGAGTAGCCATTGGGAATAGCAGAGAAAATGTGGGAGATTGTAATTAAACATAAACCCTAGCTGGGGTTTTTGGTGAAAATTTGAGTTGAAAGTTGATATATACCTACTTGGAGCTGAAAAGAGAAAGGCGCAGCTTCGGCTATCGTTATAACTAGTATCCACCCGCGCGTTGCGCGAAAAATGTGAAGTATAACATTTGGAAAAAAAAAATTATTTGGAACTTTTTAGTATTGAGCCTATAAATTGACAATTGGAAGAAACTATGAGATCAGCAAAAATAAAGGTAGACCTTTCAACTTATAATTTCTATTCTCGGTATCAAGATGTTGTCATTATTAATAGTAATATAGATTCATCAACAGCTCCAAAGACTAACTTCTACCTGGACAAATACTTAAATTGCTACTCAATAATTAGATGTAAATCATTCCATGTCATAATGTATGGATATGTGAAGTATGCACTCACATTCACCACGGGATTCTTGACAGATGAGTCAAGGTAGGCTTCAGTAATTTCCTTCATCTTTGTCAGCACCACAGAAGAGATTTCTTCAGCAACAAACTGCATCTCTTCACTCTTATTGTTTTATAACAATCATTAACTTATCACCAGGTCCAAGAAAAACCTTAATAGGCCACCATTTCATGTCACCCTATACATATGCATCACTAAACCTCTTGCCAATAAGCCGCTTTGCATCTGCAATGTAAATCACAATGAGAACTGCATAATAGAACTGAAACCATATAAATACGACTTGGATTACAGCACAAAACCTATGAAAAAGCAAATTACATGGGAAAGCACAAAAGTTGCATTAAACAAATATGGACAACTCAATAAATGAGATATATGTCATTAACAAATATGAGCAAAATGAAGCGTAGAACCTGAAACTCATATAATTTGTTCCTATTGATTTAAAAATCAGACTACTTCCGGCAATAGATGAAGCATGCATTAAGATATGATATCCTTGAAGATAAAAATAGTTCCAGAATTCCCTTGACTTAGATTACCCTAGCCTATTAAAGAAACGAAAGTGTTACAAACCATAAAATTTGACATCACAAACCAGAAACAAACATCTATATACAGCTACTGAGAAAAGGATTTAATTAATCCCACATTGTTTCTGATAAAATTTTATGTCAAGATCAATACAACTTTTCTTACACTAACTACAATCACGCAAAACTTCAAAATATTACTTTGTGTTCTTGGACAGGGGCGCTTCCTCTACGTGGAAAGATAAAGTAAGTGTCATAGAATTCTGTTGAATTAGGGAAATTGACTATGTAATATTTTATCTCCTATGAAATTAGATTGTTGATCATGTGATGAAAGCACTCATTTAATCTATTGAAATAAACCTTATAAATTAAGGATGAAGCAAAACATATGGTTACAGTAAAACTGAAGACTTTATATACTTCCTTTTTGCATAGGCATATTACGGAAGTATATATGCATAGTTACAGAATTTGCAGTAGTTTAAGAGACTAAACAATTGTCAAGAAACATTGTAAATTATTTTGACAGAATATGCATATTTGTAGAATTTGCAGCAGTCTCAGAGACATATAGGAGGAACATAATATTTTTTTTTCCCTTAGATTAATTATTAGGATGTATTATATTGGTAATAATTCGTTAGTGCTGGAAATTGGTAATCAGAAACAGAAGTAGAAATAAGTCTACAATACATAATCACTTCAAGTAGATAGTTTCATCTATTTGAGGATTGCTAGAAATTAATAAATAATTGTGAAAGTAATATTACAAACTGTCACGACCCAACCCCGGTCGTGATGGCGCCCAACACACTGCTAGGCAAGCCCGACCATGTACACAACCTTAGCCAATTAATCTAGATAGATAAATAAATATTCACTAATAAAATACCAATTTTAAGTGCGAAATCTCTGAAATAATCTCTAATATTCGAAAACCCCAAAATAAAATACTAGTCAGCCCACAGAATCTGGTGTCACGAACATGAGCCTCTAATACAGAATATTCACCTAATCACAAATCTGTCTAGGAAAGAAAATGCGAATAAAAGGATAAAGATAGATGGGAGAGATCAAGGCTGCGAACGCCATGCAGCTACCTCGATACTCCCAGATCCTGCTGCTCAGCTAACAAATCCTCACTCACCCTGTGGTGTACCTGGATCTGCACACAAGGTGCAGGGAGTACTGTGAGTACTTCCAACCCAGAAAGTAATAAACATAAATAAGGGTTGAGAGTAAGAAATCCTGGACAGGCACAAAGTAAGCTATAATTACAGTAGCTCAATCTAAATAATATCAACTCAATAAACTAATGAAAACAATTATAGAAATATCACAACAGATAAATAAGTAAATGGCAATCAGGTAGGCAATGCAACACATAACCGGACCTCCAGTACCCCGCTGCGGCCGTGCAGCCCGCTCCAATTTATTTAACGTCGACGGCGCTCACTCGGGGGTGTGCAGACTCCGGGAGGGGCCCCTTACGGCCCAAGCACAATAATAAGCCATATCGAGGCATCAAACAGGCCCTCGGCCTCATATCAATATCATTATCATACCACTGCGGCGTGCAGTCCGATCCCATACTCAATCCAAAATCACATAAGCCTTTCGGCACAATAATATAAAATATTCAGCCCAGACTTCATTTAAAAATATTACTTTAGTTTCTGCTTCTAGAAAAATGGCTGAGTTTACAAAACAGTGTTAAATACCTGGACTGAGTTCAATATCTAGAAATAGGGTAAGAAACCAGTAAAAATAATCCCTGAAGGATTCAAGTAGTTGGCACGAAGCCCAATTATGACAATTAATCCATTTTTATAAGGATACCACAAAACTACAATCAATTAGGTAGTAATTTTATTAAGCGGGACAGACCAAGTCACAATCCCCGACGGTGCTCTACCCCACGCCCGTTATCCGGCGTGCAAGTCACCTCACATAGCACTACATTGTGCAAATTCGGGGTTTCAAACCCTCAACACAGCATTTACATTTATTACTAACCTCAAGCCGGCCAAGGTCCTAGCTTGCTATGCCCTTGCCTTTCTAATTCACTTCTTCGTGCGTCGAATCTGACCAAAACCACAACGAATACGTCACAATATGCTAAGGGAATATAACCCAATCGAAAAGACTCGAAAAACATCGAAAATCACGAAGTTGGCAAAACCCGAGCCCCGGGCCCACGTCTCTAAAAATTACAAAATTCACATCACCGGATTCCTCGTCTCACCACGAGTCAATACATATCAGATTTACCACAATCCGAGTCCAAATGACCCTTCAAATTCTCATTTTTGTTCTCTTAGGTTTCAAGCCTTAAACCACCATTTTTGACCTTATTTCCTTAAGTTTTCAGCCTAATTTCATGTATTTGCATGATAAAATTGTGCTAAGTCCAAGAATGCTTACCTAATCGAAGACCTTGAATTTCCTCTTCAAAATCGCTCAAGAACACCGCAAGTCCGAAGTTGATATATGTATTCTGTAAATATTTCGCGAAGGGAATTAAAACCCTTTCTGATCAGTTATTTCCGCTTCTGCGGTCCTTTGTCGCTTCTGCAACTACCGCATCTGCGGTAATTTTTCCGCTTCTGCGGAATTTCATTTAAAAATCCAAGGCCGCTTCTGCGACATAATGTCCGCTTCTGCGGAACTAACTCTCCAGCACAAAAACCGCTTCTGCGTTCGCCTGTCCGCTTCTGCGGACTCGCTTAAGCGGAAAAAGTTTCGCTTCTGCGAAACTACCCTACTAGGCCATAAGCCGCTTTTGCGACCCTCCTCACGCTTCTGTGGAACCGCTTCTGCGGTCCTTTTCCGCAGAAGCGAAAATACCAGATATCAGATATGAACCTGCAATCTCCAACTTAAATTTTCATCCTGTTAGCCATCCGAAATCACCCCGAGGCCCCCGGGACCTCAACCAAAGACACCGACATGATCCAATACCTTATTCTAACTTGCTCCAATCATCAAAACACCTCAAACAACACTAAAACCATCATTTCTCATCGAATTCAAGCCTAAGTTCTTCTAAAACTTCCGAAACACGCATTAGATCAAAAACCCAACCAAAACACCTCTGAATGACCTGAAATTTTGCACACACATCCAAAATCACCTAACGAAGCTACTGCAACTCTCGAAATCTCATTCCGACACTCGGATCAAAATCTCACATATCCGCCGGAATTCGCCAAAATACTAACTTCGCCAATTCAAGCCTAATTCTACACCAGACCTCCAAAATTACTTCCGATCACACTCCTAAGTCACAAATCATCCCCCGAAGCTAACCGAATCGTCGGAATCCACATCCGAGCCCTCTAACTCATAGGTCAACATCCGGTTGACTTTTCCAAAACAAGCCTTCCTTAAAGAGACTAAGTGTCTCATTTCTTATCAAAACCATTCCAAACCAACTCTAACACATCAAATAGTGATAATGAAACATGAAGGAGCATAACATGGGGGAAACGGGGCGGTAACTCACGTGACGACGGGTCGGGTCGTCACATCCTCCCCAACTTAAACAAACGCTCGTCCTCGAGCGTACCCAGAGTTTTTCTAGAAGCCAACCAATAGCTGAATAACTTTATCGTGCATATAACCGGGGTGCCACGTCACCCTATCTCGCATAGGTCCGGTAACACAACATAGCTGAAATTTTCAGAATCCATCTAGTCCATAAATCATAGAACCACCCTGCACTTTCCGAAATCATACACAAGATAAGAACCTCACATCTATATTCAAAATAAGCCTAAACCAGCTGTAATAGACCATGCCTGCAACCTCGGGTGCAATTATATGATATACCAATAACTCAAGCACACGCAGCGATAACTCCCATTCACAGCAACTGCCCACAACAACCAAGTACCGATAGAAATCTCTTATTAGCCAAAGTCTCATTCCAACACCTTTACATATACTGCAACTGTTAACTAAAACGCGCAGTAAGCCATCACCATTTCTCAGATCAACCATTCATGAAACCACTTCTCCTTTGGTAAATACTACATCAAATTTTTCTGAGTCGAAGCTCGACATTACCCTTCCAACATACTGAAATCGAATCCGTTCGTATTCATTAGTGACCCCAACGATCCTCAAATCCAACACACCACTTT